CTGTTCATACTGTATTTATTGGTTAAATGACTGTAAACCCGTGAAATTCTTGGTGCTCTGTGCATATATCTAATGTATTTATAAATAGGGAAAACAAACACCACATTATAAAGAGGTTAGAAGAAATGTAGAGGTGGGTGTTCTTTTGGAGACATCAAGATGTGCCAGGGAGAAATATGGTTGTCATACCAACATGAAGCAAAGCTCAGACTTTTTCCTCATGTTTTCGCAAAAATGCTATAGTATAACTAGAATGCTTCTGAATCAAAACATCAAACAGCGGAGAGAAAGAAAGTATAATAGTAACTGGTTTTTTAACCCAGAACATCCTGTGGGTACCAAAACTCATTGATGCTCAAATTCCATTAAATGCAATGGCCTAATGAAATGGGGTCCCTTATACTGAGAATGAGGAAATAGGCACTGTGCATTTGCACATAGGACAAAATGTTGGCACATTGAGAGATATGCTATTGTTTGTGCGATCTTGGTAGGGCAATCACCATATAAATGCATGTGTGTAGATTTATACCATGTAACCACAATGTAGGGTCTCAAATAAAATCTCAAAGAATAGCAAAATAGAAATCTAGACCCCTTCTACACTGCCAGATAATCCAAGTTATCAAAAACAGAAAATCCACATTATCTGATTTGGATTATCTTAGTTTATACTGCCATATAATCCAGTTCAAAACAGATAATCTGGATTTTAAGTGGCAGTGTGGAAGAAGCTCTAGATACAAGGCAGGCTCTTGTATTAGGCAAAGGGAGGAATTCATCCTAATATCACTGATTTTGTATATTATGGGAAGGCCATTTTTAGTTAATTAATCTATTATTATTCTATTTTTACTTCCAATAAGGAGAAGATTATTGTGATTTTTTTTGTTTCCATTGGCAAAATAATTCCATGTATCTGGAGTTTTGGAGAGGTGCAAATGGTTGTGGGTGCTTCCAGACAGCACCAAAATATGTGTTTTAAAACTGAGGCAAAAAATCCCGGGACCTGACAGCAAGTCCACACACAGACCTGTCAGTCCTGGGAAATGGTCCCCAGTCATCCTCACAAATTCCTTTGAAGCAGATCAAGATGGAGGGTGGATGGGGGGCATCCAGTTTAAGTTTTTTTAAAAAAAAAAATCACTCCGTTATGCGCTGGACCTCATATAGGCACATGTAAATATCTTAGCAGATTCACATGTGTACCTTTATAACACGTGCTTTTCACGTGCTTTTCAAGTGTTAACCCAATTCTACGCTTTGGCTAAATGTCATTTAGCCACCCCTGCTTTTATCCAGGTTTCTTCCTGGTTTTTAGACATGTGTAGAAGGGCGCTATCTCTTTGTCTCAAGCCATGAAGTGTCCTGACTGATTTTATAGTCATAGGCTATAACTCGTGACCAAGTATGATTGTATTTCAAGTGTAGAGTCTTGGTGGGGGGTACACAAATGACTGTGGAGACCTATTCCAGATCTGCATGGTCTCTTGCAGTGAAAACATATATTTCCAGATGGAAGGTGGTCCCAACAAGGGTTTGCTAGACATGTCTTCTTCTTGGCACCTTTCTTCCTTTATCCCTCCATTTGTGCCTCTTCAAAATCCATGGCACTGTTGGTAATAGCTGACCTCCAGTTCCAATGCTTGAGGGCCAGGGCTTCCCAGTTCTCAGTGTTTATGCTATATTCCTTAAGGTTAAATCCTTGTGCTGGCAGGACTGAAGACCAACAGAGTGGAGGTTCAAATCATTTATTTCGGTCATTGACCAGCACAGGAAATAGTCACATTTTCATACAAACTTGGTATGTTTGGTACATTAAAAATATAAATATAACGACTGAAGCACAATATGGGTGAGGGAGCAGAAGGGAAGGGGAAATAGGGTAAAAACATACAATGCCCAGATCCATCACCAAATTGTAGATTCAGAGAAGAAGATTACTGGACACACAGTTAACTTTTGGGACTAGTCATTCCCTGACGGATTTTGTATGCTGCTGCACAGAACTTTGCAACATTGTAGGTTGTAGCTGAATTTTGTCAGCTCCAGCTCCCCATGCCTCCCATAGTACAACATTAAAACATGGGCAAGATCCTTGCAGAAAGCCAATTCTCTCACACCAGAAGTAACTTGCAGTTTCTCAAGTCACTCCTGACACCAAAAAAACAAAAACAAACAAACAACAAAAAACCTTTAAGCCCATCTTTAAATCTCTTTTGCTGTCCAATGACATTCTGTTTTCCATTTTTGATCTGAGAGGTCTTAAACTAGAAAATACATTGAAATGATAGTACAGCACATGGAGAAACTTACAATGAATCAGAATGACAAGGGTAATAATGAGGATGGAATTGCGATGGGTCCTCTGAATTGTGCATCTTTGTACTCAACCATCCATAGTTCGCAAATATTTTTCAAAAAATCCCTAAAAGAAAACCTTGATTTTGCCATTTTATTACATAATGGGCACCATTGTATTACAACACTGTGTATAATGGGACTTGAGCATTAATGGAACATGGTATCCATGGATGGCCCTGGAAGCAAACCCTAGTGGATACCAAGAAGAAGAAGAAGAATTTTATTTTTATACCCCGCCTCCATCTCCCTAAAGGGACTCAGGGCGGCTTACATGGGGCCAACCTGAGCACATGCAGTTAAAACATAGCAAATATAATATTTAAACAACATAAAACAATGTTATAAACAATAGTCAGACAAGTATCATAAGCAGCAATCAAAGGTACTTCAAGTCTCATTTGGGGGGGGGGGCTGGTGTGCAAACAAGATAGAAGATAGGCTGGTCAATGAGGTGAATAAATAATATAGCAACATAAGGATAGGGCAGTTGTAATAAGATGATTTTAGCTTGAGAAATGCAGTAATCAAATACAGGAACTTGATTTTAGGCCATGGTTAGGGGTCACTTGTCAAGAGAATTGTCAATCAAATGCACAATGGAACATCCATGTGTCTAGTTCCTTTAGTTCCTTATGGATCGTGGATAGGGAGGGTGCTAGCTTGATCTCCCTGGGGAGGGAGTTCCAGAGACGGGGAGCCACCATCGAGAATGGCCTTTCTTCCTGCACCTGAGATGGAGGTGGGAGCAAGAGAAGAGATCTTAGAGATTGTGTGGGCTCACAGGGGAAGATACAGTCGCAAAGATAGGCAGGACCTGAACCAATGGCCCATTGTATCTGCAGTAGTCACATATTCCATCAAATATATAAACGTATGCCATTGTTGTTGCTCTTGTTATATGACGGCTTATGATAATTCTAAGGTGTATTTATCATGGGCTTTTTGCAGGAAAATTCGGGGAGGGGTGTTCCACTCTCTTCTACTAAGGCTGAGAGTGTGTAACTTGCTCAAGGTCACTCAGCAGATCTCTATAGCCAAGCAAGGATTTGAACCCTGGTATCCATCACATCACACTGTTTCTTGAGGTAGCGAGTTAGTGTGATGAGAAAGTCACAGTTTCCAAGCCGATAAAGTAAATGCCCTTTCACTTTGTATGTAATGAAACGGCTGGATCAGTCACCATGGGGAAGCTAAAGCTAATCACTCCATCAAATTCCAGCAGGGATTCAATATTCACATGGGGAGAAAATGTATCCATCCAGAGCCAAGCTGCGTAATGATGCACTTTGAAAAGGAATTAAGAATCCTCCTGCTTCTGAGCTAAAACCGACTACCAGACATGGTTATGGAGAGATTTTAATGAAAGCAGATTATCCCACATCTGCCCGTCCTGAGGTCCTTGTGTTTCTTTTAGGTCAATGGTAAAGAAGATGTATTATTGAATTATATTATCTGCAAATCAATATGGCACATATGCATTCTGTTATTTCATCTTCCCTCCTCTTCCCTCCTGTCTTCTGCTGAGGATTTTACACAAATCCTCTGCTGTTGACAAAACGGAACATCTTTGCCCATATGTATTTCCATGTTGCGGGGGTCACACTCATTGGTGGTTCCTAAGGATTAACTGCTTCCTATATCAGGAGCAGGCAAGATGTGCTTCTACAGCCCATGGCTGTCTCTTTGGGTTAAAGTGAATTGGCCACTTCTGGTAACAGATTCTTGGAAAGGGTAGCCATGGCCTTTTGGCATTTTCTTCTGTTAAAAGTCAGCTATTCCAGACTGCCATTCTGAGCATCCATGAGTTTCACCATCCACACCTTGAAAATATATATGACATTTCTATCCTGCCTTTCTCACCCCAGAGGGGACTCAAGGCGGCTTTACACACAGACAATGATATGGTCATTGCACATTGTTCCAAGTCTATCCATTGCACAAGTTCTCTAAAGGCTTGGTCTTAAAGCCACATTTTCACTCTCTTACAGAAGCTTAGGATGGAGGGGGTTGATCTAATATCCATGGGGAGAGAGTTCCACAGATGAGGGCCACCACTGAGAAGGCCCTGTCTCTCGTCTCTGCGAATCACGCCTGCCAGGGAGGCAGGACTGAGAGCAGAACCTCTTCAGACAATCTTAAGCTCTGGGATGGTTCACAAGCGGAGATCTGTTTGGACCAGCAAGCTGGGCTGGAACCATTTAGGGCTTTATAGGCTAAAGCCAGCACTTTGTGCTCGGTTGCCTATAAAGCCCTAAAGTAGAGCTGACATAATGGGAGGTGGGGGTGTATGCTCCCTGTACACTGATCCGGTGAGCAATCTGGCTGCCACCCGTTGGACCATTTGTAGCTTCCAAACAGTCTTCAAAGGCAGCCCCATGTAGAATGTGTTGCAGTTGTCTATTTGGGATGTAACCAGAATGTGGACTACCACGGGTAAGTCACATAGTTTCTTCCAACTGTATGATTATATAATTCTAAGATATCCAGCCTTGTAACTCTAAGCACAAGTGATTTGGTCTGGTTTTCAGTAGGCTAGCTCCATTTAGAGTAAACTGAAATTTCCATGCAGTAAGGTGAAATGAAGACTGACATTTTCTTCGGAGTCTTACCTCTCAATGCACTATGTTAATCTGCAGGTAATTTGCAGCCGGTCAGAAGAGTACAACAGTCGTCAAGAACTTTGCAATGGAACAAATGAAGGGCCTATTCTTCGAAACCCCGGCAACCATGATAAAGGGAGGACACCTCGGCTTCCATCTTCAGCAGACGTTGAATTCTGTTTAAGTCTGACTCAGTACGAAGCTGGAACCATGGACAAAATGGCTAACTTCAGCTTCAGGAATACTTTGGAAGGTAATCCCTTTTGCCTTTACTTTCCAATATGGCATTTATATGTTAATTCACACACTCCTCCCACAGAGAAAGGTCTCAAATCCTGAATCCAGGCATGTCCTTTAGCTCCCAGGAAGACATTTTTCAGCATGGTGCTGGCTTCCTGGTTCAGAACAACTATATGATTCTGAAAATGGAAGTTACAGAGTGCTATTTTCAGCACAGAACAAAGTTAGACAAGTGGGGTGTTCAGATGAACATATCCTGAATAACCCATGTTATAAACAAGGTTTTTTGCAGTATCTGCTAGCATTTCACAGACAAAAACCAGATCAAATGTGGCTGAGATACTTTGGAGTCAAAAGAGTGGTCAGATAACAAGAGAGAAAAGGTTGGTAATGAGCAAGAACTAGCAGGACTGGTCTAGATGAGTTGTGCTCAGAGTGATACCATGGTGGAGAAATATCAGAATTCATGTACATTTCTGTGGAGTTAGGTGTGCAGATCTGCAAAAGTGGAAAATGTGAATTTGAATATGCTATTTTATAACCTGAAAGAACATCTCTCTAGGAATCTCTAGGTCAACCTGCACAACTTTGCTGTTGTAAAGGGACATTAAAAAAAACTTCTGCAGGTCATTCCTCCTTCTTCCCTCCTTGCCTTCCTGGTCAGGTAGGCAGTGAGGACCTTTCCAACATGCCTTATATCCCAGGATCTGATCTCAGGTTTTTTGTTTATCCCAGATTATCTGGCAGTGCTAATTGATATAATCCAGTTTAAAGCAGAAAACCTGGGATCAGTTCCTGGGATATAGGGTCTATCTGGAAGAGCCCTGAGAGAGCTGGCCAGTGAAGGAGAAGCCCAGCCGCAGGGAAGCTCTTTGTGGGCCATATGTTGTCTGGGATTTCTCTAGATCCTACCATAATGACTGGAGCCCGCGGTGGCGCAGTGGGTTAAACCCCTATGCCGGCAGGACTGAAGACCGACAGGTTCGAATCCGGGGAGAGGCAGATGAGCTCCCTCTATCAGCTCCAGCTCCTCATACGGGGACATGAGAGAAGCCTCCCACAAGGATGATAAAAACATCAAATCATCCAGGCATCCCCTGAGCAACGTCCTTGCAAACGGCCAATTCTCTCACACCAGAAGCGACTTGCAGTTTCTCAAGTTGCTCCTGACACAACCAAAAAAACAAAACAAAACAAAAAGACTGTATGGTTGATGTCCATCAGAAGTTAACCACAGAATTTCACCAAAGCACTAAGGCCTCACCTACACAGTAGACTCATAAAATGCAGTTCAATGCAGGGCCACAATTTCATAATGCAGTTTAACTGCATTTAACTGCATTATATAGAAGTGTAGATGCATATAATAAGCCAATGATGAGTGGTGAAAGGAGGAGGAGGAGGAGGAGGAGACATTTTCCAGTAAATGTCCATGTTGGGAGGAATGTGGTAGACAAAAAGTAGTTTTTGGGGAATGGGACAGGAGACATTTTGCTATCCCACCTGAAGGAAACTGACTCTTCCATGCAGCCCTATATCCCAGCATATCAAGGAAGAAAATCCCACAATATCTGCTTTGAACTGTTTTATCTGAGGGCCCTTCCACACAGCTCCATATCCCAGAATATCAAGGCAGAAAATCCCACATTATCTTAGGGCCCTTCCACACAGCCCTATATTCCAGAAAATCCCACAATCTCTGCTTTGAACTGGGTTATCTGAGTCCACACTCTGATAATGTGGGATTTTAAATCTCCCTAATCTGAGATCTGAGCTCTTTGGGGCCCTTCCACACAGCCCTATATTGCAAAGTCTACTACTAACTCTGGTGTGATATTTTAAAGGAAAGGACCACACCCTTGTATAACAGAAATATACTAATCTGATTTCAAGGGTATAATTGCTGAAATAACTCAGATTTCATGCTATCCTCCATGTCTTCCTGTATGACAAGAAACATACAGGAAGCAACAGATCATGAACAAACGAGAGAGAGAGAGAGAGAGAGAGAGAGATCTCTCAACTAAAAATCCAGGAGAGTCCAGGTATTTGCATTTTAATGTGAACTTGCCTAATTTGCCATTTTGAACCCAATGCACAGACCATGAATGCTGCAGAATTATAAAAGTTTGACACAACTTTAACTGCCATAGATCCAACCTATGAAATCTTGGCATTTATAATTTGTTGTTGCAGCAGAGCTTTGTCAAAAAGGATAAATATCCCACAAAACTACAAATCCCAGAATTTCGTAGCATTTAGCCAGTTAATAGTACCTTAGGGATTGTGTAGAAACAGTGAAGGTCTCCCAACCCTCAATCGCAGGATAACAACCACTATGATCAATCTTCATCCCTATTCTTTTTGACACTTGCTGATACCAGAGGCTGCTTACTGGTAAATGGGGCTGTGAAGTTGCTGGCCAGAATCCACAATGTAGCACTGTAATTGTGGTGCTACACAGAACATAATGGTCATACAGGACTCCTCCAACTGTTCTTCATCATTTCCCAGCAGTTCTAACTCCTTCATGAAAACAGGGTGTTATGTGGTACCACCATGAAACTAAAGCACCGTCTTCTATTACTAAAACTCTTGTCAAAGCGATGTGAAGGACTTACCAAAAGCTGAATCTACCAAGAAGACTGCTGCTACTCTTATATAAATTGTAAAAAAAAAATTTATTTCAAAATGGAAGGTTTAGAAAGTTTTCATGAACTGAAATGCTACCATTAACCTTCTTTCAGTCTTCAATTAAGTCCCATAATTTTTAGTTTTAGGTTTTTTAAAAAACCTAGAGCTGATAATAAATCCAAAATTTCTGAGGCTGTCGCAGTAGGCTATACAACTTTAGGATTTATGTTTACTGCTTGTCTCCCTATGAAATTTCAGGTTTTTATTCTAGGTATAAAATCATGCCATCTTGCATCTACCTTCATAGATTATGAGGCTGACACTTTTGGCTTCCTTTCAGACATTTCCAAATTTATTTAATTCAGTTGCCAATTCCAAGGGCACCTCTAGCCATTTTCAGTGTTGGGAAAAGGGAAGGTAGGAGGTACAAGACAAAAGCATGCGTCCCATGGCCAAGATTTATGGTTGGACTGAAACTTAAGTCATACATAAAGTAGTACTATGAACAGTAAAACAACTCAAGTTATTTATAGCTAACTTAGGTCACATTCATTTCAGTATGTCAGTCTACCTTAAGTATGACTTAATCTCAATGTAACCTAAGACTCAAAGAGTACACATAATCAATAAGCAAATGTAACTGTGGACCTCATCACACTGAGTTCCTGAAGCCGGGTGACAGCGGGGGGATTCACCAGGCAGTGTGGTGAATCCGTGGGGCAGTGGAGAAAACCGTTGTCCGCATCCCGCAAGAGCCCCTGCACCACTTTCCCCATCACTAGGCATTGCTGCTTGGCTTCCTCTTCTCCCTCTCCCTGATCTATCTAATGAGAACAAGGGTAGCCTCCTGTGTTCTTTAGCAGCAACCTAGGGTGCTGCCAAAACGCTTCCTGTACGGAGTCCTGCCAGAAGTAGCCTTACGTTGTATGATCAGCTCTGTCAGGATCCATTAAGGAATTGTCCAGGAAGTCCTAGGATGCTTCCCAAAGAAAATGTGATGAGATCTGAGTGGTGCTTATAGCACCAGAGAGTTTGGCTCCAAGATCTGTGGTATCCGTAGTTTCACTGCCCTTGATCAGTTTCAATATGCAGTGTGGTTTACAGCTATTAATGTTGGTGTATATTATTTGCCTCTTTTGGAGTATTCCCCCTTATCTCAGTTTAAGGCCTCTGAAGTGTGTTCCTGCATGTGTTCCTGCTGTGATTTGAACACTGCATTTTCAAGATTCCTTCAAACCCTGTTAAGTGGTCAGTGTATATGTGCCCTACCTCATTGCTTCCAGGCCGTTGCCGAGCTTCATGCAAGCTCCTGGCTGTTGCAGGTGACCAGTGCTTACATCAACAGAGATGCTCACTTAGCCAGGGAAAAGAAGGGAGTCAATTCCCCTACCTTCTGAATCTGCAGGCAAACTCTGGAGCTTCAGGCAAACTTTGGAGCTTTCCTGACTTTTCCTAATGCAGAGCTAAATCAGATTCATGATAATTATTGGAAGAAGAGAAACCTTGTTCTTGCCTACAAAACTGAAATTTATGATTAACATCCCCACTCCACACAAGTCAGATTAAAATAGTATTGATTCATATACTGCCTTTTTCAGTTTGAGAATTGAAGCACCTTATAAAAAAACAAAACTTATAAAACAAATAATATAAAATTCAAAATGGAAATGTAAAATAAAAAAATAAGTTCAAATCAGCTATTAACACTGAAAAGTAAAGAAATAGGTAATATGGCTCATTATGAAAGGTCCTCTTCCCCAAGCAACTAAACAGAAAAGGCTACCGCTGTCTGCAAAAAGATAGGAATAAAGACTCTGATCTTCCATGTTATTTGTGAAAGAAAGAAAAAGTATCTGCAAGAGATCTCAAAACAATATTAAACATCCCAATATTAAACATTACCAATTGCAAGAAAGAAACCATGGCCAAATCCAACAGACAGAAGTGACTTCATCATGATGAAAATGAGCACACACGTCATTTGGCTGTGTCCCCACTTAAATAATAGGGTTAATACCCCCAATGTGTGCCAAGGATAATGGAAAACAGATGTGACCCAGTGCCTTACAGTTAGGGATTTGAACCACAGCAAACTATAATTGTATTTAAACCTCTGTTTTAGCAGAGAAAAGGGACACATTTCCGTGCCAGCTTTCCATTACCCTTAAGTTTCAGTTGTCTGATCCTCTTAAGAGGTTTATCGTCTCAGGACGGAAACCCAACTTCAACTACAGCACAAACAAAAAGGTGAATGCACCACCATGATTTATTTCCTGTTCTGCAAATTGAAAGGAAACTGCTAGTATGTTTTGTATTCCACAAGTGAGAGGTCTACCAAATGCAGGGAATATTTAAAGTTATAATATTTTCTTCTTTTCC